AAGCCATAGCCCTCTACCCAGGGGAACAGCTTGAGGCTCTGTCTCAAAAAAACAAACAACAACAACAAAAAAAACTGCGTCCCACCCCCAAGAGGTGTGCCAGACACCCTGACTTCCATCTCCCTCCCTTCTCCCCTCTCCCCGCTTGCTCATTCCCTGCCTCCCCCTCTTGTATTAGGTCATCTACTGCCTTCATATTAGAATTGAGTGCATTAGATTCTCCATTCTTTTTTTTTGAGGCAGAGCCTCAAGCTGTCGCCCTGGGTAGAGTACTGTGGCATCACAGCTCACAGCAACCTCCAGCTCCTAGGCTCAAGCGATTTTCCTACCTCCACCTCCCAAGCAGCTGGACGACAGGTGCCCACCACAACACCCGGCTATTTTTTGGTTGCAGCCGTCATTGTTGTTTGGCGGGCCCGGGCTGGATTCGAACCCACCAGCTCAGGTGTATGTGGCCGGCGCCTTAGCCACTTGAGCCACAGGCGCCGAGCCATTGCTTCTCCATTCTTGTGATGCTTTACTAAGAAGAATGCAAACACATAATTTTGAACAAAAATTTGTTATACATAATATTAAATATGATATAAATTTTGCATATCATTTTTATCTGTACTGCTTCTTTAGGGCACAGACTATTCCATCTTGTAGGTAGTTCATAAGGTTTCAAACCATCTGGAATGTTTCTGATTCTTCTCTCCAAAGTGTATAGTAATAGCAGCAGCTGTCCCTGGTGATCACCTGTAGGTGCAGTAAAGGGGAGAGGAAGAGTACAGACGTGTATTAGCAAAACGTAGGCATTGAACCTGGATGGACACCCTCCTGGGCGGTGGGCAAAGCAAGATACGGAAAACTGTTGAATATTTTTAGACTTTAAAAAGCAGCTATAGCCAAAGCAGCTGTGATGGCAATGAAGAAGCAGCTTCAGTCTCAATTTGAAAATATACATTTGTGGCTCGGCGCCGGTGGCTCAAGCGGCTAAGGCGCCAGCCACATACACCTAAGGTGGCCGGTTTGAATCCCCAGCCCAGCCCGCCAAACAACAATGATGGCTGCAACCAAAAAATGGCCGGGCGCTGTGGCGGGCGCCTGTGGTCCCAGCTACTTGGGGGGCGGAGGCAGGAGACTCGCTTGAGCCCAGGAGTTGGAGGTTGCTGTGAGCGTGATGCCATGGCACTCTACCCAGGGGGATAGCTTGAGGCTCCGTCTCAAAAAAAAAAAAAAAAGAAAATATACATTTGTGCCTTAAGTTTAAAACTTTAATGGATTTGGTTAAAATATGAAGATACTAAGTTCATTTAAAGTTAAATGATCACTTTGGCTATTTTTTCCCCATACGGAAATGAAATTCTCACTGTAACAAAACATTAAAAAATCAAAAAGATAAGTAATCAGATCTCTGTTTCTAATATGCCTCAAATCTGTATCTGTTCTATTTTTCCATTTTTTCTTGGTATTTTGTGATTAGAGAACGGAACTTGCCAGGTGATCAGGGGAACAGATCATTTCTTCATTGTTTTTAAGTTTGGAGGAAGGTAATTTTAGAACTGATTTCGTTCATTGAACTTTTCTGAATCAAAGCTAACATGGGTTAATGAGGATTCTCTGTTTAGTGACTTCAGATGAAAGCAATAGAACTTGGGGACGGAACGCAGTCTTTCGGCAAGAAGAATTTGAAGATGTAAAAAGGAATTTCAAGAAAAAAGGTTGTACATGGGGACCAAATTCAATTCAAACAAAAGAAAGAACTGATCACAAAGAAAGGTACAGCATGTGTGTTATCTGGCAGAAACTAGTGTGTGCCCGCGTGGTGGCAGGTGGCAGTGCCTGTGTCAGTAATAGCACATGGGCCAGGCTTGCAGAAAACAAGTAAATCAATGCAGAGATGTCTGAACACTACTTTAATTTTCCAGGATGAATTTGTCATCCTAAACTAATTATTATTTAGTTAAGCAGTTAAGAATCTTTCTGTTGCTGTTTCTGTCTCATTTTATTTGTACTTTGTTAGCTCTTCAAAACTCAGAATAGAAAGGTGTTCTCTTTACTGCCTAAAAAATATCGTTGGCACACAGAAACCAACACCTAATTCATGTATCATGCAGTTCTATTATATAAAAATAGGTATTTTTCTCTTGCAGGATAAGACCTCTCTCGGATGGCAACAGTCCTTGGTCAACACTCTTAATAAAAAATCAGAAAGCCACACCCCTGGCTTCCTTATTTGTGGATCAGCCAGGTAAGTGTGTTTCAGGAAGCAGAACTTGTTTGACTTAGATTGAGCTTCTGAGTGCTCTAACGCTTTGATAATCTAACCTGGTCGTGTAAAGTTGCAGAGAGGTTAGCAAGTAACTGCTTTCTTTATAGCTTTACTTATCTCAAAAGTTATTTTCCATCATGTCTTTTTTTTTTTTTTTTTTTTTTTTGAGACAGAGCCTCAAGCTGTCCCCCTGGGCAGAGTGCCGTGGCATTGCAGCTCACAGCAACCTCCAACTCCTGGGCTCAAGTGAGTCTCCTGCCTCTGCCTCCCAAGTAGCTGGGACCACAGGCGCCCGCCACAACACCCGGCTATTTTTTGGTTGCAGCTGTCATTATTGTTTGGCGGGTCCAGGCTGGGGATTCGAACCCACCACCTTAGGTGTACGTGGCTGGCGCCTTAGCCAGTTGAGCCATAGGCACCAAGCCTTTCATCATGTCTTTATGGAAGAAAGTAAAAAGGCACCACATGTGTTTTGGGGAATTTGTAATTCCTGTTCTTTATCAGAAAAATGAATGTCATAATTATGTAGACCCACACTGATTTAGTATAGGAGATACTTAAATATAAAAATGGGCTCAGCACCTGTGGCTCAAGTGGCTAAGGCACCAGCCACATACACCTAAGGTGGCAGGTTCGAATCCAGCCCAGGCCACCAAACAACAATGATGGCTGAAACCAAAAAAAAATAGCCAGGCGTTGTGGCAGGCGCCTGTGGTCCCAGCTACTTGGGAGGCTGAGGCAGGAGACTCACTTGAGCCCAGGAGTTAGAGGTTACTGTGAGCTGTGATGCCACAGCACTCTACCCAGGGTGACAGCTTGAGGCTCTGTCTCAAAAATATATATATATATATTTATTTATTTATATATAAATGCAGATTGTCTGGAAGTTCTGCTAAGAGTAAGAGGAAGGGCTTTTGGCTGTCTATCTCTCGACCTGAGGATGTGATGAAATACTGGAAGCAGGTTATCCATGAAAAACACTGCTTGGAGAGTTTTACATTGGAATTTCTGCTTAATTTAAATGAATCATAAACTACCTGGTTCCATTTCTCCTTCAAAGGCTTCTTCTTTATGAAGAAAAAAGAAGCTTGGAAAGCAGAGTTAGGGGGTGGGAGGAGTTCAAATGGAAAAAGAGGGCACCCTGAACAGAAAGACACCCCTGGAAATAGCACAGGCTTGTTCTGAGAAAAGGCTGCAGCCCAGATTATCCAGACCACTGATTCTCAACTGGTGTGTGCCACGAATATATTTAAAGATCATTAATTAAATTAATTTTTAAAGACATTCAAAGCCTAGTAAGTATATTCTTTTTGGTTTAACTCTTTTTTTTTTTTTTTTTTTGATCGCTGTAATTTAAGTGTGCCACAGGACTTTAACTATAGGTTCAAGTGTGGCATGAGATAGAACAGGTTGGAAACACTGGTTTAGGTTATGGAGCACGTCTTGGGGGCGGTAGGATGCCATGTCAGACAAGCTGGAGGTTCTGCTGAGGATCGCTTTGGAAACCAGTTGTTGGGTCACGCGTTGATACACTTAGTGTGTATTGCGTAAGTAATAAGAATTTTAGGCTCGGCACCTATAGCTCAACCGGCTAAGGCGCCAGCCACATACACCTAAGGTGGC